CCCCTTCTATGGTGCATCTGGATGCAACCAGTAACTCTGCAATCAGAGTCAGCCAAAATCCCTCCCTGGAGCGGAGCCCAGTGCAGTCTGTGCTGCTGTCAGGGGCCCTCATTGACAGAGAGAAAGGCATCTCCTCCCTCCCATTCCCTCAGGGCATTCATGTCTCCTTTTGGGAGGCATTTTCCTTACATTGGATCAACTGGTGTTGCTAATATGCTTCACAACTCCTTTCTAGTAATGGTGGCACAGAGAGTTTAGTGCTTTGCACACTGGACTATTATTCCTGAATAAAATTAGATTTTACATCTGTCCCCTTCCACCCTTCCCCAGAAAGGACAGCATTCCACACTATTGGGAGTTGCTATTGGGAGAAGCTCTGACTCCTTCAGATGGCCTTTCCATAATCAGTGTTTCTCTTCAGAAACTCAGCACTTCCTCGGGAGGTTGAGTGCTCGAGTTACAGACTATTAGCAATGAACCAAATCTCATGAACCTTGCACAGAACTAATTTAATTTCCTTTCCCACACATTCTGGGCTCACTAACCAGACCCTGGGTCACCTGTAAGCACAAGGTACCTCACCTGAGACCAATTCTTCACCCAGAGTGAGCCTGGGCTTTATGTCCCATGGGGCAGTGAGATCAGAGACCCTTCTGCTGCAGCCTAGCCCCAGCATCACCAGTTCAGCCCCTCCATCCCACCACCATGGCACCATCCCATGTTCCAAACATCCTGCTGTGCATTTATGCACTGAACACAATCCTTGGCTGCCACACAAGAACTCACTGATGTACAAAGGCTCTCGTCCCACCCCTCCGGTCACAGCGTGTAGGGCAGGCACCACAATGGCATCCTCTTCCTCTCCAGCCCTTGCTAAAAAGGGAAAATTCACTGCAGATGTTGTCATTTTTAACCCCAAACTAACAGGAGCCTCAGCTTATAGGAAGAGAACGTGCAAGAGAAAAAACTGTGCTTTAAAAGACAAAAGGCTCAAGTTTGTGACTTCAGCTTCACATCATTGAAACCAGATATAATTAAATCCTGCTTTTCAGTAGCCACTTCAAAATGAGTGTCTCTGTAATGCAGAGAACACTGGAAGTGTGAAGACACTTTTTATTTGACCTCAAAATCTATTTTTACTCCACAATCCTAATTCTCCACAGCTGGAACTTTCTCTTCCCCTGGCATGGGTGGGAGCAAAGGAAAGGCAAAGGCAAAAAAAGGCAAATGAATAGGAAAACCATCTCCCTAGGTGTGAGGCAGGTCTGCAGAAGGACACAGAGGAACACAAAAGGACAATGTGTGCATGCCCCCCATGGCCAGGGTCTACCAAAGGTGTGCCAGGGGGTGCCCAATGGAACAGGGGTGGAGAGGGGTCAGCCCTGCCCTCACTCTCCAAGATGCCCTCAGCTGACAAAGCCACTGGGACCTTTGCACAAGAGGCTCTCATGCTCTGAAGTTGAGGAGATATTGCAGAATGGCCCTTATTACAACTTTTTGCTATAAAATCTGTCTGAAATTTATTCCTCTCCTGAATCTGATAAAATTGATATAACTGACTGAATAACTGGTATAGAGAAATAACAGAGAATGAAAGTCTGGTTGGGATATCTCGGAAGAAATGTAAAACTTTGGGCCCATTAACAGCTGCCTCCCTGCTCTGGTCCCCCAGTGTGAGGAGAAGGAGCGAGGCCCAGGCTGAGCCATCCAAGGCCTTTCCCTGCCCCAGGCTCACACAGGAATGCTGGCACAGGCTGCCAGCACCTGCAGTGACCCACAGACATGTATTTACACACAAAGACATTGTAAAGCACTTCCTCCCTGCTCCAGAAAGGGAACAATTTAAAATACGAGGTAAAAACATCTCTCTCACCCGTGTTCTGCTATTTCAACTCTGTTATGTACATTCCAGTCCAAATAAAACCTGATGCTTCTTTCTGGAATAGACCCACTCAAATTTCCAACAAACACACAGAGGAACATTTCTTCTTCTTTCCAACGGCTCATTTGATCTTGCTCAGTCTCTGGGATCACTGGATCTCCCAAGGAATACAACAGCAGAGTGCAGAGAGGTCAGATTTTATCGAGGCAGGAGCAAGTAAAGCTGAGCAGAGCAGAGCAGGCCTTGCTCAGGCAGGTCACAGTAAGGCCATTTCCATCCTGGGGAACACACCAATAATCTGAGTTTTCACACATATAGAACAGATGCCCCAAGTCAGCTGTAATTCTTTATGAGGTTTGCAGCTGTTGTCTTCCTCATGAGTTTATCAGCTTGCACAGCTCTTGTGTAGCTGCTCTTAATTCACCTCAACCAGGCAAGGGGTGGGGGGGCCACAAAAGAGCAAAGGGAATAAATGAAACCTACTCAAAAGAAAAGAAAAAGAAATACAGCCCAGGCCTGATGTCTTTCCACTGAGACCTCCTGTGCACATAGACACACAGACAGGTTACCCAGCCAAATAAAGGGAAAGAGCATTCCTGGAGATGGGGACTGGGCCTTTGGGAGCTGGACCCGTTGAAGGAGACCAAAATTCCAGTTCAAGGCCATTTACACCACGTGAAAGCACATCCCCCCTGCAGGTGGGGCTGAGGCTGCTCAAGCTCAGCCACAGGAACTGCCCCAGGGCAGAGCTAAGGGTGCAGTGCTGGCTGCTCCTGCTCCCCCTTGAACTGACAGGGAGAACTCTTTGGGTTGGAAAAAGCTTAAACACTCCTCTGGTTCATCTGGAAGCAGAAGAATGTGAAGTTATCTCCTGAAATCCTTCCCCTTGTTTTGACCAGCTGCACTGAGCAACCCTTTCTAACATTTCTCAACTACAGATGAAGACACCCTTCTTCCTAGCAGAGCATTTTCCTTCTAATAGTATGCAAAGCCTTCCCTAAAACTTTCTTCATCAATTACCTGTCTAGAAAATGAAGAGCTGGTGCTAAGAACTGCCAGATCCTTAATATGATTGACTGTGGCTGGTTTTAGTCAGCAAAAGGTCTCCCAGTAACAAATGTCTTGTCCATTTGTTCTCTGACAAGAAGCACAGTCGAGGCCTGCGCATCATTTGTGCTCAATCAAATCCTAATGCTGATGGAAAACTCTGGGTTTTGGTGACTCCTGACGTGCCCCAGTGGGGTTTGGAGAAATGTGTCACCCCTGAACGTGTGCAGGATGGATCTGGAAGGCCTGGAGCTGTAAGATAGGAATTAACTGGAATGACAAATTGCACAAGCCTGTGTTTCTCAGCTGGCACTTCCCTGTTACATGCTTACAAAACTGTTAACTATGGAAAACAAAAGATGGATGGAAGATCTTTTACTAAATGGTTTTTATAGGAAAAAACAAAGAGAAGTTTGATGTAGGCAAGCTCACAGATAGGCCTTGTTTTACAGCTGGGGAACGTAAATAAATTTTCCCTGCTAATGGGATTTTATGGTCTCAGATACAGAAAGATTTGCCCTTTATTTTAAGAACATCTAAATTAAAGGAGTGACTCAAAGTAGTAGAGACTGGCCTGGGGATACAGTGAATACCTCTCACCATATAGGTGATGCTTACAAGACTTTTAGATACAATTTTTACAACATAATAAAATTGTTGAATATGGCATAAAAACGTGTAAGATTTAATTTCTCCATTTCTTTTTGTGTACACATCAATCAAAGTAAGATCGACTGTGGAAAAGAACAGGATTTTGTTTTGTCAAGAAAGGCTGGATCCTTGAGGTCCCATCCAACCTGGGATTCTAGGATTATTAAACTGAAGAGAAATAAACATCCATATCTTGTAGCTATGTTTTTCCTTTAAAACATTTTGCAGAATAATTACAGCTGAAACAAAGGAAGCTCAGAAAATTGCAACACTGGAGCTTTTTGGGGAAGGGAAAAAAAAAAACAACAGCCAAAAAGAAGTTCTGATATTCATTTCTAACTTCTAATAAATACTTCAATTATATTATGCTTTGCCAGATCTGGCCTCTAACTTTGGACTTCATCCAGTTCCCTGAAGAACCAAAGGAAATCAAGCTCAAAACTTTGGTTGTGCTCTTTTCTAAATGGCAAAATACAACCCACCAATTTCACTGGCATTTCATTTGGCAATACCACTGGAGCCATTTTCCTGAAGGAGAGAAGCAAATCCCTTTTTTGTCTATTTAAAACTGCAAGTTATTGCTCAGGGACATGCCCAAGCTTTTAAACAAGGAGCAGTAATTATTATTTCATTATTTCCATTTGGACATTCCTTTAAGAATGACAAAGCTTCACATCTGCACTTACGTATTATAGAGTGAGGAACAGAGGAACACCAACACTTTCAAAGACAACTACTAAAAATGGCAATGTGAGCTTTTACCTTAAAGTGTAACATTCTGGCAAGGCCTTGGTCTTGCAAATATTCAGCACATGAGCATTCCTACTAAAGCAAGATTCATCCATAGGCTTTTTCACTGGTGGATTTTCCTTTTATTTATATATATTTTAAGGCAACATATTATGAAAGTTGGAAGGAGGAAAATAACCTGGGAGCAGGAGGTGGGGTCCCCATCAGTGTCCATGGATGGCCTTGGACTCAGCACCTCAGCAGAGACATCCCAGTGAGGCCACTGGCCCAACCAAATCAGAACTTTGTGTCAGAAAAATAAATCATTCCATGTTTTTTTTCCCAGTACTCCCACATGAACACCTTCCCTCTCTAGTGCAATACCCTGCAGAAGTGACTACACCTAAAAATAATTGCTAAGAAAAGGTTCCAGCATTTATCACAAGGTCTGTACTGCCTTTCTAACCCTTCCTTTGTTTGCTGGCAGATGATGATGTACAGAATTGCATAGGAAAACAGAACATAAAAAGATAAAAATTAACTTAATTTACACAACCAATAAGAAAGTTTAAAGCAACGAAAGAAAAATAATATAAAGGCTAGATACATGAAATGCCAGTTCAACGGTATTAAGCTTTGGTAGAACAGTTAAAGAGCATAGCACCAATAAAATCCAACGTCAGCGCAGGCTTCAGTAGGCATGAGCTGTGATGAAAATGTAGATTTTGGCAAGAAAAGTGGTGTAGGTTCCCTGGCGCCAGAGTTTCATTTCCACATCCAGCAGGAAGTCTTTGGGCTCCTTGACCTGGCGCTGCAGGTAGACGATGCCGGTGTAGGCGTTGAGGCGGCGGGTGCTGAAGAAGCCCTCCTCATTGCCGCGGGTGATGGTGAGCGCGATGCTGTCCCCGGCGTAGGCGGGCGAGGGCCCGATGCGGAAGATGTGCGCGGGCACCACGATGTTGGTCTGGAAGTTGAGCTGGTAGTAGGTGATGCGCACCGGCGTGTTCTGGCACTCCAGGTAGTTGAAGCAGTTGATGCGCTCACACCTCCTGGGGAGAGAGGAGAGAGGCACCTTCAGCGGCCAGGGAACAGCAGGGAAAAACATGAAAACCTGGGGGCATTGCCAAGGATTGGACTGACTGATGCCTTGATGTTGTGGTGTGATGTATTCGCCTGTCTCAGTCATCCCAATTCTTTCCCCAGGTGTGCCAATCACCTCTCCCTTCCCTTCCTTTGGCCCCTGCTGAGTGCTGTCCATCAATCTTGGCATTCCAGCAAGGGCTTCGTGTGATTGGCAAAGTTCAAAAGATGCCTCTCAGCCCTGGGGACATCGGGCCATCCATCCAGGTGTCATTTGTCCCCTGACACTCCCCCCCTTACCTTGTTGGTGGGATCCCTACCCCTTCCCTGCCCCTCTCCCCAGGGTTAAAAGACACAGCAACCACAGCGGTTCTCTGTTCTGTTGGAGCAGTTGCTGCATTCAGAGGCCCGTGTGCCAGGAATAAAGCTCTGGATCAAAACCCTCCAGCAGAACCCGACTCCTTTTCCTTCCCCTCGCCTTGAAGTCTCTCTGCCAGAGGTAAACCTGAGCTCCTGCAAGCCTGGACTTGTCCCAAGCACCCAGCTGCAGCATCCAGCCAGCCAAAGGTGTCTGTGAGGTGAAACCACCACACATCCAGCTTAGCCAAAGGTGTCTCTGAGGTGAAACCACCACACATCCAGCCAGCCAAAGGTGTCTCTGAGGTGAAACCACCAAACACCCAGCTTAGCCAAAGGTGTCTCTGAGGTGAAACCACCACACATCCAGCTTAGCCAAAGGTGTCTCTGAGGTGAAACCACCACAGCTGCCACCTCTGGTCAAGCAGCAAGGGCCAGACGAGCCCAGGCACGTTCCATCCGGCAATATTGGGATTTAATTTCAATACCTTAGGATTTCAGCTTTTATATTTTTCATGCATTTGTAATCCTGCAATTCTTTAGTGTATAACTCCAAACTCCATACAGAGTGTCAGCTGCAGCTTTCCCATTTTGGGCAGACACAACGATTCCTCTCTGGGCCTGGTAGTCAAGGACACCTCACTGCCTCAGGCCCCCAGAGATGGAAACAAAAGTGAGTTTGGGGGGAGCAAACTTGGGGTAAATTACTTCATTACCTGAAGCCGTAATTGGAAGATTAACCCCCAATATGCAAATGGACCAAACTTATAAAAAAAGTATAAAAACCTCTGACTACACATTTTGGGTGTAGCCCCCGGGGGGGGGTTTTCTACCCTAAATGTACTTGAAGGCCCTTTAATAAATATAACAGCTTTTTATTCTCTTAATTTTGTCTGGCCTCTGTTTTTAGGTAGTCCCATCAGGACAAACGGCATTCCCAAACCTCAGTGTGTGATCAGCAGCTGCTTGTTCTGCCCTGCCAGTGCCCAGGACACCTCTGGGTGTGCAGCTGAGAGCAGCACAGCCCGAGGCACAGATCACAGCCTGGGGAGAGCGAGGGGAAGCTCCACAGGAACAGCCAGAGCCAGGCTGCACGGCACAGAGCTGGGACAGGGAGCCAGGGGCTCATCACCGGCAGGGCTGGGGCACTGCTCCAAGAAAATAACAATGAGACCCCTTGAAAAGGTACCTAAAACACCTTGGGAAACAAACTCCTCAACTGGCAAAGCTGCTCAGTTCTGTAAGGGAGGAAAAGTATGTTTTAAGCCATAAGCAACTAAATATGGGTTCCCAAAGCACTGGCAGCCACTGAGGCAGAAAATGGGCAGGGAGACTTTGGGGCTTCTGAGCCCCAGCTGCTGAGGAGCTGGGGATGTGCCATTCCCAGAATCCTGTGGCCTGGCAAGCTCAGTATCCTCCTCCCTTTCAGCACTCCCTGAGGAACTGCATTGTGAGTATTAAGCAGGGAGCCCCAAACCCACTGTCAAAAGTGGAGCACTGAGCAGCCTGGCTGCTCCTGCTCTGATACAAACAGCACAGAAGATCATACTTTAAAACATAATTATAAACAGAGACATTTTAGAGCTGCAAGGAGAGCTGCAGGCTCTGGTTTCTGTTGTTCCAGCAGCAGCTGGAGGGCAAACAGGGGCTCTAGGGCTTGAGAGAATGAAGGATAACCAGACACAAATTCTGCATAGGGAAGGTTTATGAGCTCCAGGTACCGAAGCAGCTTCTCAGAGCACCCACACCCACCCACAAACTAAGCACCACACAGCAGCAGAGGCACTGGGCTGACTCTGGTGCTGCCCCAAGGCCATACTCACATGTCAGACACCTTCCTGTAGTTGGAAGGGCACTCGAAGGACAGGCAGCGGAAGCTGCCCTGGATGTTGTAGCAAGTCTCTGCAGCTGAACAGTTGTGGCTTCCTATTGCACACTCATCAATATCTAAGAAGAAACACAAGAAAAAGAGGTTCTAAGTTCAAAAGTAAGAATTAGTTCCTAGTATTTTTCAGGAATAAACAAGCCCCACCAGGATATAATTGAGCTATGCTAAAAGACAACAGGACCTTCTCACTGACTTTTTGAGACTGGAGAAAGCTGGGCTGTGCCAGAAGAATGCATCTGTGCATGAAGGTAGCTCTGGATTAAAGCAGAGCAACTGAAATAAATCTGGAGTTAAAGCAAGCAAAGGCAAAGTGGTCACTGCTGTCCTAGAGGATCCAGGAGATGTGGAACATGGGAACTCAGAACAACCCTTCAGAACAAGGCACAGAGTTTAGAAAACCTAAATACAAATATCTCCCCATAATGAGATGTAATTACAGAAGACATAATAAAGAGCACTTAAAAGCTCATAGACACCAAAGAATAATGTGGCTACCTAAATAACACATAGCCACAAGCCCAAACCATGGGCCTGATAATACTGAAAGCCAGATGCAGAGACAAGGATCCAGCCTGAGCAGGAAGCATTGGCAGAGCCCTGGCAGTCACACTGTGTACTCCCAAACGTCTAGACAATGCACAGAGGCTTTAAAATGAAATAAATTCCAACAGACAAGGCATGTGGACTGCGTAGGGCCCTGCAGCTCTGTCGATTCTCACAGAGCAGAGACTCTTAGAGGGAAATCACAGCCTTCCACTCCCTCCATTCCCCTGGGATGAGAACTGATCTCACATACTGAACCGGCTGGTTTAAAAGTCTTGCAAAGAAAAGTATACAATAGGAAATAGGAGGGAATCAAAGTCAAGTAAATCCCTTGCTGGTTCTCAGCAGTGCCCGTAGGTGAAAAGAAAATTTCTTCCATATTGCAATCATTGTCATGAAAGCACTCCCTGTACCACTTTGGCTGCGCTGCAAAACGCCACAGGCAGTTTCTGCAAAAAAGATCCATATGCTGAGCCACTACTCCATGAGATACAACTCATCTTTTGAAAATAGGGTACAAGGAACATTCCACCAGTAACTCTTCAGAACTGGTCAGATGATGAGCAGCTGGAGCCAGATCTTTAGCTGGGGGGAACCAACATTATCTCCCTGCACAGAGGAGCCAACAACAGAGCCAATACCAACCCAGTCTTCCTTTGACCACATTTTCAGACACACCTCAGTATCTGCCCAAACTTGTATCTACAGTCCTGCAGAGCTCCAAAAAGGGGATATATCCAGGGGAGCTGCAGTTTTCTAAAGGTGAACTTTATGTAAGAATTTAAGTGCATATGGATATTACCGCAATCATACTTAAAAACACATTTGAAAATATTTTAAAACATTTCTAAAGGATTTTAATTGTCATTTCATCTGCTTCACTGCTCCACAGTCAGGATTAAGTATGCTCATGCTGCTCAGGATTTTCACAGAGAAAATTCACTGCCATTAGCACTCAGAATTCAAGCACAGGAGATACATAACCAAATTCTTCATTACATGAAGGGTTCCTGAAAGAGCCAGGGCAGGAAATGCCTGGCAGTTGGTGTAAGGACTGCAGGAATGTGCAGAGGACTAAAGGTAATCATATCCTCCATCAGGTTACACAGGCAGTGCATCGTTTGGAAAGGGGGGTTCAGCTCAGAACCACACAGCTGCACACCAGATGAAAACCACCCGACTCCCAGGAGACATCTCCACAATTCTGAGGAAAAGGGGTGTGTGAGGGGAGAGTACTTGTCATTTCACTAACATTTATTAATGCCAGCACGATTAAGCTTAGGTGACTCTGCTGGATGGCCAAGTTTCAATTACAGCACCAACATTTAATCTCCCAGTTTTCTGGAGGAGAAAACTGTAACTCATAAAACAGCCACAGATTTCTACATCTGGCACCTCTAATACCCCTGATCATTGAGTGCTGTTCCAAGGTGCACACACAGCTCGTGTGAGTCATCAAGTGCCTCAGTTTGAGGGATGAAGTGGGCTCCTGGGGAATTCATTGAAGCAATTAGCTCACACTGACAGCTGAGTTGCCACAGCACTTTCTTCTAGCACAGGAAAACTGACTTTGCAGATACCAATATTTGGCAACTTTGTCGAAGACTGACTTTGGAACAGTGACTGATACAAAGCATGGAGGTTTGACTGAGCAGCTGTAATGGCTGAGCTGAGTGCAAGGGTGTGAGTGGCCCACTGCTCAGGGCTGTTACCTCTGCAGGTCCTGCCGTTGGCTGCCATGGTGTAGCCCTGCTCAGGACAGGCGCACTGGTAGCTGCCGGGGACGTTGACGCAGCGGAAGGTGCAGAGGATGCCGGCGCTCTGGGCACACTCGTCAATGTCTGCGCAAAGAACACAGTCACAGCCCCAGCACACAAAACAAACAAAACAAACCAAAAAACAAAACACAGATCTGCAAAGGCAGGCTGCAGGACACCAGGAAACTCTCACCTGACACATTTGTAATATATTGCTAAACGTGAGCACAACCATGGAGGGCTGGCATTGCTTTGGTGCTTTCTGAAATGCTGAACACCAGCCTGCTCCCAGAAATACTGGCTGCAAGCAGTACACACTCATGGGAAGGAATAATGAGGGTGGGGCATGTCTGAGTTTGAAGCACTGTCTCTCTCTCTCTGGTGCCTCTGTAATTGAGAGAATCATAGAATCACAGACTGGTTTAGGCTGGAAGGGAGCTTAAAGCTCATTCCACCCCCTGCCATAGGCAGGGACACCTTCCACAAGACCAGGCTGGGCCTGGCTTTGAACGCTCCGGGGATGGGAAATGTCTCTGGTCAACCTGTGCCAGGGCCTCACTCCCCTTTCAGCAATGAATTTTTCACCAGGCTTCCTTGTGCTAGCAAGGGTGTTGGCTTCATCATTCCTTAAACAGAGACTCTCCAGCATGTCAGTGCTGGTAACTTCAGCTAAAGAGGTAAAACCCTTCCTCTCTATTCTGATCACTCTGCTCCTCATTCACTATGAGCAGTGGTCAGAGCAAACCTTCACTCAGCAGTGCAGGTGTTCATTGATGCAATACAGGAATATCTTCCCACCTGATTTCTTCAGTCAGCTCTGGCCCCATGAAACCCTTACAACAACCTCCCTGGCTGTGCAGTCCCACAGCTGTGCTCCACCCACTGAACTGCACTGTGCAGTAGCTGAGTGACCTTTGGCAGCCTCTGTGGCAGCTGTAGCTCACAACCATCCTCAGGCATCACCTGCAGCATCAGGGGCTGCTGAGGGTCAGAGAGTTCTTCCTGCTACAAGGAATAAACACACGCCCCTGATCTGGTGAGGCAGCACCTTACCTTTACAGGAATGCCCATCTTCAGCCAGCTGGAAGCCTTGCCTGCAGTAGCACTGGTAGGAACCATAAACATTGGCACACTCCTGGCTGCAGGGACTGTTATCACATTCATTCACATCTGCATCCAAAAACAAACACACAGAGATGGTCACAGTGCTTCAGAACAGCGTCTTCTACCCTTTCCTGCCCCTGAAAACCTTTACCTTCCAGTCACAGTGACTAAGAAAGGACTAATTTGTCCCTATTTTTTCTGCTCCCTAGGCAGAATGCCAAGAAGCTGGAGCATGTCTGTTGCACCTGAATTTCATTTCTCCATATGCCAATGGAAACACACACACATGCAGACATATGTTTCAGACTTCATAGGTTTCAGTTCACTAAAATATGTAATTGTTCACTAAAAAAATCATGGAGAACTCAAAAATTTTCCATTCAATCCAAAGTCATTTTTTGTAAGTTTTGTCATTACCAAGTTTCATCTTTATCAAAATTTGAATGGTTTCCTGTTTTAACTTTGTTCTGTTCTCCTGTCATCTTAAAGGAAAGCAAAGAGTACATGGGGAAAGAAAGAAAAAGGAGAAACTTGCTGACACTCATCTGACAACTCCAGTGTTTGAGGAATGTTTGAAAGAGCTGGGACTGTTTAGCCTGGAGAAGAGGAGGCTTAGAGGTGACCTTATTGCTCTCTACACCTTCCTGAAGGGAGGCTGTAGTCAGGTGGGGTCGGTCTCTTCCATCAGGCAGCACTGACAGAACTGGAGAACACAGCCTCAAGCTACGTCAGGGAAGGTACAAGTTGGATTTTAGGAAGAAAATTTTCACCAAAAGAATAAAGTACTGGAATGCTCTTCCCAGGGAGGTGGTAGAATCACCATGTCTGGATGTGTTTAAAAAACGACTGGACATGGCACTTGGTGTTAGAGTCTAGCTGAGGTGTTAGGACATGGGTTGGACTCGATGATCTTAAGAGGTCTCTTCCAACCTCATTCTGTGATTCTGTGACTGCAAATCTGAGCACACAAAGGTTACTGCCTTTATATTTCACCTCAAGGCCTCCTCCCAAGTCCCCCAGTTCCCCCAGCAGCTCGTTCCTCACGGAGGAGCGCGGTACCTTCGCAGTGCTTGCCGTCGTAGGAGAGGCGGAAGCCAGAGGAGCAGGAGCAGTGGTAGGAGCCGGGCGTGTTCTCACACGTGTGCTGGCACAGGCGCCCGGGGTAGTTCCAGCACTCATTTATGTCTGCCAGCAACAAGCAAACCCACAATCAGCTGAGGGACACGAGCAAACGAGGTGCAGGAGGGTATTTATTAAAGTGTCAGAGATTGGTTTGCAGAGCGTGAAGTGCCGCAATCTCGGGTTGTGTGAGGCTGTGTGACTCTGAGCTCTAACTGCTGCACAGGGGGGACCAAAGACAAAGTGCTGTGTCATGGCTCTTGGGAGGACAGTGATGGAACCTTCAGACAGACAAACTCCCACAGCAGCAGAAGCATAACCCACAGGGAAGGACTCTGCACATGGCTTAAGTGATAACCTGCAGTTAAGGCAAGCCAAGGGCGCCTGGTCCCAAATCCCAGCTGGGAGGGACAGAGCCCTGGATGTGCTGCACAGCCCAGCTCTGGAGGTGATGCCACCCTTTTCTGAGGCACTGCACAGCACACCTCAGACTGCAGTGGTGCTGAGCAAGGCACACCTCAGACTGCAATGGTGCTGAGCTCAGCACACCTCAGGCTGCAATGGTGCTGAGCACTGCACACCTCAGGCTGCAATGGTGCTGAGCACTGCACAATCAGACTGCAGTGGTGCTGAGCACTGCACAACTCAGACTGCAGTGGTGCTGAGCATGGCACACCTCAGGCTGCAGTGGTGCTAAGCACAGCACAACTCATGCTGCAGTGGTGCTGAGCACTGCACAATCAGACTGCAGTGGTGCTGAGCACTGCACAACTCAGACTGCAGTGGTGCTGAGCATGACACACCTCAGGCTGCAGTGGTGCTGAGCATGGCACAACTCATGCTGCAGTGGTGCTGAGCACTGCACAATCAGACTGCAATGGTGCTGAGCACTGCACAATCAGACTGCAGTGGTGCTGAGCATGACACACCTCAGGCTGCAGTGGTGCTGAGCATGGCACAACTCATGCTGCAGTGGTGCTGAGCACTGCACAATCAGACTGCAATGGTGCTGAGCACTGCACAATCAGACTGCAGTGGTGCTGAACACTGCACAATCAGACTGCCATGGTGCTGAACACTGCACAATCAGGCTGCAGTGGTGCTGAGCACTGCACAATCAGACTGCAGTGGTGCTGAGCACTGCACAATCAGACTGCAATGGTGCTGAGCACTGCACAATCAGACTGCAGTGGTGCTGAGCACTGCACAATCAGACTGCAGTGGTGCTGAGCATGGCACACCTCAGGCTGCAGTGGTGCTGAGCACTGCACAATCAGACTGCAGTAGTGCTGAACACTGCACAATCAGACTGCAGTGGTGCTGAGCACTGCACAATCAGACTGCAATGGTGCTGAACACTGCACAATCAGGCTGCAGTGGTGCTGAGCACTGCACAATCAGACTGCAGTGGTGCTGAGCACTGCACAATCAGACTGCAGTGGTGCTGAGCAGCGCCGCAGGGCCCAGGCTCAGGCAGGGTGAGCTGCCAGCCCCCCCTGCCCCACGTACCGATGCAGCTGCGGCTGAAGGCGTCGTACTGATAGCCCATCCTGCAGTCACAGCGATAGCCCCCGGGCAGGTTGTGGCACAGCTGCCCCTCTCCACACCGGTGCACCCCAGTCTGGCACTCGTCCACATCTGCAGAGCCAGAGAGGGCATCAGCATCAGTACAGTTTGCTTAAAACCAGTGTTTATAAAGAGACACAAAAAGGTCCATTTAATGGCAGGGTTAGAAACTGGACAGCAGAAATACCACCAGCTCGTCCCTCCATGCTCTTCTCAGAGGCAGTTGAGTCAAACCTGGGAAAAGCAGAGCCTTACCTTCAAAGTGAAAATGGTAACTGGACTTGAAATGGGGTTCTCCCAGTATATTCTGCATTTCAGTGTAAACACACTTTGATTCTGATCAAACCATGACATTTAAACCCCCATTCTGATGTTCTGCTATTCCATGAGTCACACCAAGTCATTTAAAGCAAAACAAGAACCAGCCAGAAATTCTGCTCATCCCTTCAATTAAAGCAATTGCTATTTTCATCTCCACCTGCCCTCTCAGTCTGCTCCTGCTGTCTACCTTTTGCTCTTTCCCAATGTTGATTTTTTTCTTTTCTCAATCAGCTCCCATTTTCATATTCCCCACGGCCTCTCATCCAAAATCCAATACCAACAAATTAGTTGCTTCTCCACTCACACACATCATTTCCAATCTCATTGAAACATCCTTGGAGGAAGATGAGAGTTTTCAATACAGGCTGATTTACAAGACTTGCAACATGACTAAATAGCTCATCAGCATCTAACAAATCCCTCTTACCATCTGTGACAAGAAGCATCAAAAAGTCTGATTAACCCTCAGAACTGTGTTTTTCTTCAAGTATTCCAAGCTTTGCCACTTCCTAAGCCAACATATCCTGATTTTTTCCTATTGTTCACATCTTCAACTACTTTTACAATCCAAATCCCTGTTCATGTAATTGTGCAACCTCGTCCAACTGGGACTCCTGCTCCAGACGCATTTGCAAAGGGCTTTGGCCACAAGCCAGGGCAGGCAGGGCACTGTGGGGAGGGGCACCTGACCAGGCCACAGTGGGAAGAGTGGGGTCATGGGAATTAGCAGTATGCTAACAGTATCCTGTATTTGGTCAAGTTTCCAGTTCTTGTTTCCTGTTGGCTCCATGCTAGTTCATGTAAGGTCAGGTTCTGAGCTCACCTTCATGATTGCACCTGTGTCCCTATACCTGTCTGCATTTGCCCTGCCCAGGGATCTTTGGAATCTTGCCTCTGTAACCTGCACCATGTTTTGTTATTTTGGTTATTACAGTTTGTATCTTCTGGGCTATTCCACTGTTCCCATTTCTCATTTATTAGGAGCTCCTCCCAGCCAAGCTCACAGTGAGCTTCTAAGCCCATCTGTAATAATCATCAGGATGGATCTCTAAGGCTGGAAATTCACCATACTGCCCTATCTGAATTCATAAATTTGAGCACTGAATCATTTCAGAGGGCTCCTGGGCAGTTCTCCATCAAACAACAGCCTTGGAGAGGCTGCACCCACACAGTCCCTGCTGGCACCGGGGTCAGGGATGGCAGGGAGTGCCCTCACCATGCAGGAACTCCTGACAGGAACTGAGATTTCTGCTGGAACACTGAGTTACCAGTTTTCTTTTAATCAGAGGTAGCAGCAAAAACAGGGAAGTCTCTAATGCAGATAATTTGTAAAGTAGCAGCTTTATTTGTAATGAATTCATGTCTGCAACCAGTTTGCTAGTTTGTCCAAAATTCTGCATTCCATTGCATTCAGACTTTAATTAGTTCTAGGGCATTACACCATCAGAACTGTGCCATATTTCACACTTACAGCAGTTTTCAGCTAAATTTAAGAGGCAGGTTTTAATAACTCATTTGCTAAATCAGAAAATCTGAGCATTTAAAAGACAGATGAATTCTCTAAACAGAGGAGATGACCCTACAAGTGTCGTTCTGCTGAAGAAACACGTGCAGATGATGTTTTTACTACTGTGAAATGAATAAATCTGATTCAGGGATCTAATTAGCTATTGTAATGCCTCACAGACACTAGTCTTTATCACAGAGAGAGGAAATTAGGACCATATGCTTTTCTTCTTTCTTCTCTGTGCTCTCTGCCTACTTTAAAAAAAGCCATTCAAAAAAATACCAAACAACACAGACCAGCAGTAGGGACAGAGTGCACACAGCAAAGACAGAGAAATCACTAATTAACATCAATTATGTTTTCCCAAAATCAAGCTAGAGAAGCCTCCTTATGGCTGCTCCTGAAGAGCCTTGAGAGTGCTGTAAAGCAGAGACTGAAGACCATCAGGAATCACAATGCATTGTGTTATCTCACTGTGCTCTAGAGCAGAGATGCTGGAGGATTAATGGCAATTTCCTCCTCTCTCCTGGATTTACACACAGTAACTTTTTTTTTTAGGAACAGCTGGGGAGAAAAGCTGGATTCTTTCTGTCCCATCAACTTGAAATTTAGGAACATAACTTGCCCCAGCTACTACAGAATCATAGAATCATTAAGGATGGAAAGGGCCTCCAAGATCACCAAGTCCAGCTGTTGATCCAGCACCACCATGTTCACCACTAAGCCATGTCCCCAGCTGCCACATCCACGTGGGTTTTGGCCATGTCCAGGGATGGGGACTGCACCCTTGCCCTCATTTACAGAGCATGCAGGGCAAAGGCTGCTGGCCCTGCAGCCAGGACAGCTGTGCTGCTCAGGGCTGACTGCTGCCTTGTGGAGAAATGGCATTCAGGGAGACTCTGGCGTGGTGGTCACCCTAAAAACAACCTTGGGTAACCACACGCCAGGTGGTGCAACCATACCCAGCCCAGGTGGCCTGGCTGACAAAGGATTGATCAAAAGCAGCAGCAGAACTGAGAGGTTCTGAGTGTCTGCACAGAACTGAGAGGAACAGCACTTTTGGAGCTTCTAAGAACTGAAATATTCCAGGCTGTAACATGACAGCAAAGAACACTGCACTGCTTTGCCCTGCACTTACAAAACACAGTATTTGGAAGCTTTCTCAATTTCCTCAGTTGCACACATAACCTGTTCCTTCCAAATCTGCTACTTCCAAATCTTCTCCACCTTTCCACTGGCCACGCATGGTCTGGATAGTACAGGGGGCAAATGAGGGGAGGTAGAGGATAGTGAAGAGCAAAAAGGTGAATGCAGAAATATCTGTGGAAATGGGGTCTAGCTGTACCACTGGTGTGCACTACAAGCTGCTAACCATGGCCAAATTAATGGCTCTCAACACAGTTCCCAGCCACCTACAGCACTACAAAGCACATTTTGTTAATCTGCCATCCTTCCTTTATTCCAGGGGAAGGTAGGTAAAAATCACTGGGATATCACCACTAAGCAAACTGCTGCTTTGTCATTTCTTTTTTTCTTTTCCCCCACTGTCATTTCAGGATTTCCTATCTTATGTAACCTGGAACATGGGGAATCGGAGAACATCCAGCCAGCCTTGCCTTGGGCACCAGGGACTGAGCTTCCCAGCCCTTGGTGCCTCATGTGCTCATTTACAAACAAATGCTAACAAGCACTGAAATCTGCTATTCTGAGTCAGTAACTCCCTAAATACATTGGAACAAACACAAATCAGGATCAAGCTGCATGCCAGCCTATATGAATATTTCATATACTCATTCTCCTCAGAACTTTTTTCACACACTGAGAATTTATCCTAAACACCCTCACAAGTGGATGTAATGGGGAACACCATGCACAGAACATCCCTACAAAGAAAATCCACATGGTGCTAGTCTTGTGAGCCCCCAAAACCAGCATGCCTTGTTTACTGCAGATCACTTCACTTCCAGGGAGGTACTACAAAAACCACCTAGGCATTGTGGTCTTGACTGACAGGATGAGTTTAAAAAGTATTAAAACACACTCTCTCCAGAGTGGAAGTCAGCGAAACCTGCAGCCAAAACCAGTTGCTGAGCATACCAAGAGAAACTCTATGGAGCAATGAGACATCAGGATCCTGCAGCACAAACAAATCCCAGAGCTGCAGGGACAGCAAATTCCCACTCCTCAAACACATTTCGGAATCTGGAAATAACTGCAAATATCTCTTTAGAAATGAAATAGATGTTTCCCCTGGGAGACCCCCCCAGCCCCAGGCTGGCCTCACCGACGCAGCGCGTGCCCTCCTCGTTGGAGTGGTACCCTCGGCTGCAGCTCAGCATGTTCCTCTGGCACGTGTAGGACCCCACAGTGTTGATGCAGTTGAATCCTGGCTTACAGGGCTCAGGGAGAGACGTGCACTCATTGATATCTGGTGAAGAACATGAACAGAGCAGTGAGAGATGCTGTGTAACCCTTCTGGTCTGCTTTCTTCCAACTGTCACTTCTTTTTCTTCACTTCAGTTTCTCGTGCTACAAAGATAAGGCTGATGAAGGTCTGCTGTGGGGATAGCTCCAAATTCAACATGCAAGTATGGGAAGCAGCATTAAGCTCACAGCAGGGTTTACAGAAAACTCCAGCTCCAAGGGGTCAGTGCACAGCTCCCAAGAGGCCCAGGAGCTGAAGCACAGGGCACAGACCCTGCTGCTCACACTCACCCACACAGTTGCCCTCGGGGTCCTGCAGGAAGCCATCCATGCAGCGCTGCTTTGACTCACAGTAGAAGGAGCCCTCTGTGTTCTGACAAACAAAGTTCACCTTGCAGCTGTGAGTTCCTCTCTGGCACTCATCGATATCTGTTAGCACACAAAACACCACACTGGGGTGAGCTCAGCTCTACCTTTCAGTGGCCTTCATGGCCAGCTAACCTCCAGAAAGGAAATTAGGAGGCATTATTTCAACAGACACGTGTTACCAATGGGAAATCTGAGGGTTAAGTGTGTGTGCTGTTGGACATCACTTCAGGATTTGTCAGGTCCTGCAGCAAATTTGATTCAGGTCCCTACTGCCTCATTCACAGCATCTCTTGCAACCCACAAATACCAAAATATCTGCAGTTTTTTACAGGCTACTGTAAAACAGTTTGTAAATATAATAATCCTCTATAATCTATTTTCAAGACTAGAAAGTAAATTAGATTAGTAATAAATGTTAGAAATGCTCTAGAATCAGCCAACAGAACAAGGCATTCACAAAACAGCCTCTTCAAGTAAACCAAGCTTTATTTATGACAGCTGTTTATAAAGGGAGATTTCTGGTAATTTCTATTTTATGGCTTTATGTTCTACATCAAAAGCTAAGCTCTTTCCTTAGGCATCTCTTACTGCAGCTGTCAGGAAACTGTAAAACGTGTAAGTGTAAATAACAGTGAGTTTTGCCCTGAAGGCAGGGCACGTGTGTCCCTTACACACTCCTGTGCTGCTGTGAGCACTGATGTTCCCTTCTTTGTTAGTCACCTACAGGGGCAGGGGGGATGAAGAATAACTTCTTGACCCATTCCAAATGGTTACATGTAAATGTAAATAAATGCTGACAAGGATTCTGAACACAGAAAGGATGGGGCTGTCAGCCCCATGTTCCATTCAGGCTGGCAATTTTTGCTGGAATCATCAGCAAACAGCATCAGCTGAGCCAGGTAGAGGAGCTAAGGGGGATTCCTCCTTTAGGGAGATGTCAAATCCTAATTCAGAAGGTTTTATCCATGTTCTAAGTAATTTACAGTTATCCCTGGAAACCATTTCAAATGAGTGAATGTGCAGGAAGAGCCTGTAAAGCCCAACACCTCCATGTTGAGCAGCCTTTTTTAGCTGCAGCGCTGGTATCACAGAACAGCAAGACCAGAATGCTCTGCAATCCTTTCCCTCTTGGTGTGAGAGCTGAGGACCTTCCCTTACCTACACACTCGCCGTCCTTCAGCTCGTGGCCGGGCTGGCAGCTCAGCTCCTGCAGGCAGCGGAAGGAGCCCATGGTGTTGACACAGTGCTCTCTCCTCTGGCAGGTGTGTCTCTCTGTCACACACTCGTTGATGTCTGTGAGAAAGAGGGAACAAATCAGTGCCAGAGGATACCAAGGCATCTCCCTCTTCCTGCTCTTCTGGAGGGAGCAGAAAGCTCAGATGAAGGACACTCAATACAGGCTTTGTTACAGGGCTCTGATGATGGAAGATGCTTTTAGTCCAGGCTCTTTAGTTAGCACAGAGTGACTGAAGAGACACAAATCACGGGGGATTTCCTCCTCCTCCCCTCTTCCCAAATGCCATGGGGATGGTGCAGGCACTGGGGACGGGGATGGACAGAACTGAGGAAAGGCAGGGTGGGCAGAGGATTGATGACCAGCTGGTGGTGAAGGGATGGGAACTCCTGGACAAGGGAATGAGAAAGGGATTAATGGCCCTTGCTTCTCTCCAGACTTCCACAGCCCAGGCCACTGAGCAGCCCTGCTGCCTTAGGCCAGGCTGCCAGGGGCTGCTGGGGGAGCACAGCCCAGGGATGGGAGCTGAGGCTGCCTGCTGAGCTGGGTCATGTTGACACCTATTCCCTAAGGAATACAGCACTGGGACTGGATATGCAGGAACTCATGGAGAGGAACTCTGATAGCTCAATCAAGTCTGTAAATTTGTATTTAGAGCTTTAAAGAGATTTGATTTCAGCAAGTGGAGTAGTGAAAAAGTTCTTTTTAAGAAATCACTTGAACACAAGATTGCAGAGCATGGGACAGGGAAGGAATATGAAACACCTTTAAAATTATATGTTTTGATAGGCTTGGATGAAATAATCTAAAATTCAGGTTTTGCTTATGTTAATAATGAAAGCTAGAACAGCATGATGAGCAAATACTTAGAAGCAACAAAAAGGGGCAGAGACTGGGAAGAGAAATTTTCTTGCCAACCTCCACAAAACCTCACACATTCCCAGTTCTATATAAAGCTAAGAATTGCTAGAGCTAACAAAAGCCAAATGTGACCAGCACCATTACCAGTCCTCTGGCTGCTCTGTGCATGAAGCTGTTTTCATACTACACAATAAAGCAAGTATTGTTTAAATCAGATTTTCATTTTGGCTGGTAGAACCTCATTCTCAGATAAGTACATCAATATATGACTTCCCCTGTGGAGCATGAAAACAGGAAAAGCCATTCGAGAAGATTTTTGTATTTAAAAATGTGTCAGCTGGTTTTCTAGCAAAGAAATGAGGAGAAGCACCAAAACCCTTCAGTTCCTGGTGGGTTTGGATAACTGGTGATGTGCAATGAGTTTTCCAAGACCAGCATTAGCTTGGTTGCATTCCACTTCTCACTTATTCCTATTTTCCTTTTTTTTTTTTTTGTTTTTCTCACTGTGTGCCATTGCCACTCTCCACATGCTCTGGGCTTGCTTTCCAAAGCACCTGGTTAATCCACAGCAAGGTCCTGCCCATCACCTGGATCTCTTTCTACCTGTCCCACATGAAGTCTGAGCTCCTGCACTGAGGGGCAGGTCCTTGCCTGCCCCAAAGTTCTTGCAGGGTTATGTCCCCCAATGCCTGTGTAGTTTCCCACTTTCTATTAATTGGTATTATCACAATGGAGTAGAGTAAGAGTAATTTCAGAAGTGATCTTGTGGGGGTAGCAAAACCCCCCCCACATGCTGGGAGATGAATGTGAGGTGCTGTGGTAGATCCCTCTCACCTACTTAGACTTAGTTCTTTAAAAATTTTGATTTTTTAAAAAATTTATTTTAGAGGAAACCAGCAATGGATGGCCACTTAATAGCACCCAAAGCACTGCAAGACTTTCTGCTGGCTGTACCACAGATCTGAGATTATCTGCTCTTGCAAACCACAAAAAGGCTCTCACATAAACAAACTGACAGCATCACACTGCAGCTCATGAGCTTGAGTCAGTCCAGCACCATGTCAAAAGAGAAAGGATGTTTGTGACATACGAACCAAAGAGGGTAGGAGGCATTCCATGTGATCAGCAGGTGGATATTGAGTAACATGCATAAAAAAAAAGTTGTGATTTAACAGAGAGAAAAAAAATCTAATATGATTTCATGTTTTGTCTATGTTTTTGATTCAATTTTCAAAACTTTGAGTGCTTGAAAAAATATGCAGAACTAGCTGGAACATATCTGAGGAAATTAAAATGATGGAAACTGGCAGATTACAAAGCAGTGTTCTCATTTTCAATGGAAGTTTTGTGCACATGAGACACTGACAAGTCCTACAGCCTGACTGTGAGCTGGGCTGAGCTGCAAGGCTTAAACCCTGAGCCATGGCCAAGCAAAGTTCAGCTCTGCCTGTTCAGAGTCAGGGCAGGAGCCCCTGGCTGTGCCATCAGGCCAGCTGCCAGCCCACCACAGTCCCCTGGCCAGTTTAGCATGCAAACATGCCTGGTTTTGTTAATTTTTCTAAACAAATTCCTAAATTTGCCATAGAATCCAGAGTGCCCGTGACCTGTCTCCCTCCAGTCCTGGAGCCAACTCCACAAGTCAGTAAGATGCTTGACAGAGCACTAGGAATAACAGGAGTTATGTTTTCAGTCTCAAACACAGCTAATTCCAACACTGGACCAGCTGTGGGATTCATCTAACCCAATTAAGGCTCCGAGGGAGGGTAAGATGATGTTTTCTTTAAAAAACAGGGAAAAGAGGAAAAATATCTCAGTACTACACTGAAAACAAGTCACACGGTTAATTTTTGAGGAATCTACTCAGTCTCTGTGTGTGGCAGCAACATTCCTCACTTTATGTCAGCAAAACCCAGAATGAAATGCAATCATGTAATAACTCTTTTTTTCCACAGAACTGTTGCTGAAAACAGCAACACACACATGATCCCTGAGCACATCTGTTGCACCTAAGAGCTGGCATTTCTGCCATCAACATTTTACCTACTGCTATTTATTTCAATATGCACTTTGACATCAAAACCTCATTTTGATGCACTTTCTATTAAAAAAGTGAAATTCAGACTTTTCTTGTGCTGCATCTGCAGTTTCTCATTATTTTTTCCTCTTCAAATCACCTCAGCTCTGTTGGCTTTATGGGACACATCTGTGCAATGCAGGCACTTTGTTATTTTGCAACCACCCACCCTGTGGGTCCAGGAATAAAGAGACCATGTCCTGCTCCCTGTCAGGAGGGAACTGAGGTGGGAGTAGCAAAGGCAGGAGCAGAGCTGTCAGTGTGCAGTGGGTGGTGGGAATGACTTTGCCTCAAAGTCACCAGAAAAGCGACACCCAGCCTGGCTCTTATCTCTGGAGAACACAGAGCTTCTAGCCCAAAGGCATTGCAGTGTCTGCTCCCAAGGACACACAGAGGGGCTGTGTGAGAGCTGTTTAAACAGCTGGGGACTCCTCTCTGTGCATGGCTGGCTTCTGGGGAATCCTGGCTGTCTGCTCCTGAATGCACCTGGAGTTATAATTCCCCACCTCTGACTAAAGGGAACTCCACAGATCAAAGATTACCAGCTGCTTTGTGGCTCTGCAAAGATTGTTCCTCCCATCCCTAAAACATGCACAGAGTAACATCCTTAAACCAACAAGAATTTGCAAACTAATTACCAAAGGTTTTCTCCTGGTGTTTGAGACAGTTCAAGGTGGAGAGCAAACTGCTAGGCTGGAAAAGGATACCCCAGGAGAACAAGGCAGTGAGCAAAACATAAACCACAGTGTATGCCTGTGGCTTTCCCCTTCAACTACAAAAGTAGGAAAAAATGTTAAACATGGCAAATGTTCTGGTGGCACCACACACAGAGCAGAGCTGGATGGGAGCAGGCAGCACACACAAAAAGGGAAGTTTTTTAGGTCATTTAAAAGGATACCTGTAAAAACCGCCCTGCATTAGAGGAACACAGAAGTTTGGTGTTCAGTAAGGGAGAAGAGCTTCACAAATGAGAGTTGTGTCTTTGCTTTCATGAGTAGTGCCTGAGGTTTATTGGTATCAGCCATAATCAAACTGTTCCAATGTGATGGGGCAGAGGGAGAAGGTGAGACAAAGGAAGCACCTGGCACCTGCCACAGCAGCTCCTGCCAAGGCTGCAGACGCTGGCACTGGTTTAGTCTCAGAACACTCCTGGGACAGGTGAAAAAGGACAGATCCATCCTTCCTGCACTGTCCAGGGAAAACATCAGGGGGTTCAGTGGCAGGAGTCGGGAGCAGAGCTCGAGGAGGGGCCGTTCCCAGAGCTGCCAGGCTCCTGAGCAGGAGTGTGGGGCTTGCAGCAGGCTTTGGGCACACCCTGGGCACCTCCAGCACCAGCTTCAGCTCAGGCTGAGCTGTCTCATAAAGGCCTCTTTCCTTACAGTGCTGCTCTCTCAGCCATTTCACTGGAACCAAATAATTTCATTAGTTTCCCATTCTTACCAGTGCATCTGATTTCAAAATAAATAATAATAACAACTAAAAAATAAAAATCCAGTGTCAACAACTTAAGGAACACCCAAAAGGTGGTAAATCACAGTTCTTTGGATTCTGACACTGCAGAAGTTTTCCTGCTCATGCCCAAATGCCACACCAGATGGGATCACAGAGCTTTAAAGACAGGAACAAAACCAAAGCTGTGGTGGTCAGAAAAACAGTGTTATACATGTAGGGAGGAGGACAGGGGTGCAAGAGAGCTCTGCATTCACACAGGACATTACAGCCATGGGCACTGATGCTTTCATGGATGACTGGAGGTCTCCAGGTGCTCCATTTTTCCAGGCAACGCTCCTGCTGCCTCCTAACCCAGCCTCTAGAAAAATACCCAAAAAAGAAACTATTTCACATAAACTGAGGTCCTGGCTGCTGGAAGCAAACTAAATCCTCATAAATACACTTGTAAAAATTGATTGGTTTCTTCCATGAATTCAAACAGCAGGGATGATCCAGCAGAACTGTGATGCATCTTTGACTTTTACACAAAGAAATTTATGCCAGAATCAACAAAAGACTCATGAATTTTAAAATGCCCTCCTTTTGGAATGGATCTTGTCTAGTGCCTGGACTCACACGGATTCTTGAGCTGTATTTCTGAAGTTCTGTTGTTTGGTGGTGCCTAGAACTTGGCAGTACTGAACTGTGCAGAGAGATCAGCTGCTCTGACCCCTGAGCTCAGTCTGCAGCCAGCAGAGCTGCTGTGCTCCCCACCCTGTGGGCTCGGGGCTCCTGCTCAAGGTTATCTGCACCCTGAGATGGCTGGGAAACACCAAACAGCACACAACTCATGAGGTGAAGGGCTGAGCAAATGGTGCATGTGTGATGTGTGTTTGTGCTGAGTGGCTCTGAGATGTCAGATGCAAGGATGGTGGGGAGGTGCTGCAGAGCATGGAGAGCTGTGATGCTGAGGGAGGGCGTGTGCCTCTCGTCTTACCAACACATTTCCTATGCCTGTTGAGAATAAAGCCCTCTGCACACATCCCACTGTGGCTGACACAGGAGAATGATCCCAGTGTGTTCTCACATAACTGTCCGCTGGAACAAGCCTGAGCACCTGTGAGGCACTCATCCAAATCTACAGCAGCACGGGGCAGCCAAAAGGGAAAAACAGAACTCCATTAGAACAGTCCTGAAATGAAACAACATTTCTTTCACGCCGGGGATGCCGAGATGAAGTGTGCTGGAGCTCCCACATCAGCACCAGGCTGCAATACATGCAGTGTTACACTGAAAATAGGGCTGGAATAAACCCTTGGAGATCATTCAGTCCTTGCTCACACTCCTGTACTTTTGCCATTCCAGAAAGAAATATCCTTAAAAACAGGCAGGCATTCACATAGAGACAGTGCACACTCCTTGAAAGAAACCTGTTACAGTGCACCACCCTCACCATCAGATCCTGACTTCAACAGAGATTATAAATGTCCCTTGCCAATGTTTAAACTCACTGCTTCCACTGACAAATACAAATTTTTTCATTTCCTGTAGGAAAACGATTGCCTTGAAATGCCCCTTTTGATGCTGACATTAATTAATCAAATTAGCTTCCACCACACTTGGGTAAGCAGCGCACTGTGAATGTTTCATCTGGTGATATTAAAATCCCATTTTCTTAACAGACTGTCTGGAATTTTATGAAAATGATTTGTTATTCAATAAGATCTAAGATTAAGAGTGATGTGGATCATTTGTGAGCAATTCTGAGCATTAGGAGCTCCTGCTTGTATTTCACTGTTATTGCTCCCTTACTTAGAGATTTATAATTAAGGTATGTCACAGGACATGGCTTCTGACCCCCAAGCCCTCCCTGGGCAAACACATCCCTTGTGACTACTCAAGAATGTCCATTTTAAATGTCTGTAATGTGAATGGTGAGGATGCAGCTTTGGAATTCACTGCTCATCTCTGGGCAGGCCAGAGCTCCAGCAGCAAATGAACACCTGGAGCTGGCCCAGCTCCCATGGCATGTCCTGCCTCAGCTGTGAAGCCTCCCTGAGTTCAGGTTTCCAAGGCAAGAGCAGCTAAAAGCAAACAGAGCAGATGCCAGGGCAGAGCTGTGCCCTGAGGGTGCCCAGGACAGCAAAGGTGTCCTGCTCGCTGCTCCTGCTCCCAGCCAGAGTGCTGAGCGTCCACAGCTGTGCACACAGAGCCTGGGGAGGAACCTCAGTGGGAAGAGAAACCAGAAGGGCTGTAAAAAAGCCTGCAATGTCAGAGGAGAAAAGCACCAGCCCAGGCTTGCCTCCACCTCGCCGGGTAACAGCCACGCTGTGCTTCAGGAGGTATCTGTGAGGCAGAACTGGGATTCCTTCTGCCAAATGGTCTCTCTGGTGGCACTGCAATTCCCAACTCTGAAAATGAGGAACAGCCAGGGCTGTGAGGTACACAAACATGTAACCATGGCTCTGTGGGGAGCCCAAAGCACTCACCTTCACAGGAAACCCCATCAGCCATGAGCGTGTAGCCAGCCATGCAGGAGCACACAGCATCTCCATCCACGATGTTGCATAGGTGCTTGCAGGGGCCATTATCTGCACAACACAAAATTGCACAGTGCATCGGGACCCCCAGCACAGATCAGCTGCAATTCCACACTGCCAGGCCAGCCAGGCACAATCCCAGCTCAGGCAAGGGGAATCAGCCTGGAACCAACCTGTCCAGGCAGCCCTGAGCACTGCTTCCCACCCTGCTGCTGCACACAGACACAGCTGGCCCCTCCTGTCTGCACTGCTCACACCCCCCTGCACTGCTCACACCCCTGCACTGCTCACACCCCTGCACTGCTCACACCCATCCCTGCACTGCTCACACCCCCCCTGCACTGCTCACATCCCCTGCACTGCTCACACCCATCCCTGCACTGCTCACACCCATCCCTGCACTGCTCACACCCCCCCCTGCACTGCTCACACCCCCCCCTGCACTGCTCACACCCATCCCTGCACTGCTCACACCCATCCCTGCACTGCTCACATCCCTGCACTGCTCACACCCATCCATGCACTGCTCACACCCCCCCTGCACTGCTCACACCCATCTCTGCACTGCTCACACCCATCCCTGCACTGCTCACACCCATCCCTGCACTGCTCACACCCATCCCTGCACTGCTCACACACATCCCTGCACTGCTCACACCCCCCCTGCACTGCTCACATCCCCTGCACTGCTCACACCCATCCCTGCACTGCTCACACCCATCTCTGCACTGCTCACACCCATCCCTGCACTGCTCACACCCATCCCTGCACTGCTCACACCCATCCCTGCACTGCTCACACCCATCCCTGCACTGCTCACACCCCCCCTGCACTGCTCACACCCATCTCTGCACTGCTCACACCCATCCCTGCACTGCTCACACCCATCCCTGCACTGCTCACACCCATCCCTGCACTGCTCACACCCCCCCTGCACTGCTCACACCCATCCCTGCACTGCTCACATCCCCTGCACTGCTCACACCCATCTCTGCACTGCTCACACCCCCCTGCACTGCTCACACCCATCCCTGCACTGCTCACATCCCCTGCACTGCTCACACCCCCCCTGCACTGCTCACATCCCCTGCACTGCTCACACCCCCCCTGCACTGCTCACATCCCCTGCACTGCTCACACCCATCTCTGCACTGCTCACACCCCCCCTGCACTGCTCACATCCCTGCACTGCTCACACCCATCCCTGCACTGCTCACATCCCCTGCACTGCTCACACCCATCCCTGCACTGCTCACACCCATCCCTGCACTGCTCACACCCATCCCTGCACTGCTCACATCCCCTGCACTGCTCACACCCCCCCTGCACTGCTCACATCCCCTGCACTGCTCACACCCATCCCTGCACTGCTCACACCCATCCCTGCACTGCTCACATCCCCTGCACTGCTCACATCCCTGCACTGCTGCACTGCCCACCCCAGCCTGAGGAGCAGTGGGAACAACCCTGGAAGCAGAGAGCAGCCTCACATTTCTCCCCCGGGTTTCCCCTGACAATTTCGCAGCCTTGTGCCACAGCAACAAATTAAAGCTGTGCACTGAAATCAGACTGGAGGAGGGATGAGAGAAGTTTTATTCTGTCTCTAAACATTCCTCTGCAACTGACACCTCCAACGAACCTTTGCACTTGTCCTGCTCTTCCTGCAAGGACACCACGAGGATGGGCTGGGAGGGAGAAGCTACTGGAGGGATGGTGGCTTCAGCTTCCAGCCTGGTCATCTGTCCTCTGTCAGGATCTGCAAGGCAAGGGAGGATCAGGGACAGCACCATCCCCACCAGACACCCCATAGCAAGGGGTGAATCCCTTTCATCCCACTCCATCATGGTTTGGAGAAGGAAACAAATATCATGGACACAGATCAGAGAGGCTGGCTGACAATAACTTCTGTAAAGTACTGCAATATCTGAATAAACTACAAAGTACTATTTTCATTTTTAAAACATTTGCTGTATTTTAAATACACTGCCTGTCTTTCATTTGGAATTTGATGGAAAAAAACCCAAGCTTTGACCTTATCCTGTCCATCCTATTTCAACACAGACAAACAACAAACATCTTTACAAGCACAGGGTACTTTGGAATGACTTTTGTACAGCCAAGTGGATAACATGACAGCTGCTGTCTGCCACTAATATTTTCAACAGACAGTAATGTAAAAGGTATCAGGAAAAAAGAGCTCTGTTACATCAATAAGAGTATCAGTATCATCAAAATAGAAGCCTAAATCCATAGGGCTAAATTGTCCCTTAAGAGGGATGTGTCCTGTCCCCACTGAGTTCAAGGGTCACCTGGAGCAAAGTGTGATCCCCAAAACAGTGACAACCTTAAATGACTAAGGGTGACCGCAGTGCAGGTTTGGGGTGTGGGAAGAGTGATTTCCTTAAACAAATGAAGTCAGCACAGACACATAAAAGGCTGTGGAACAGAGACAAACAAAATTCACCTGCTTGGGGCACAGCCTGAATGATTTCCCCAGGAACACCCAAGATGGGCACAGACACACAGGGACAAGGAGAACTGAAAGGCCACTGTGCCATGTATGGTTCTGCCAAGCAAAGCCACTGAGGCTGCCAATCCCCTCCCTGCCCCTCCCTCAGCCTGGCACAGCAAAGGCAGCACCAGCCCTCCCTGCCCTGGCCCCTGCCATGCACCTCTGGAGTCCCACGGCTGTGCCCTGCCCCTGTCACAATCCCATTCCCCAGGTGAGCTCTGCAAACCCCTCTGCACCCCTGGGCACAGCCCTGCACATCTGCAGGAACATGACTTCCCAGATCACAAGATGCTTCACCCAGAACCTCAGCAGAGGCACTGCTGGGAGAAGAACAGCAAAGCAAAGCAAAACCATAAATACACTCCAGGTAAGCAATGAGGCCAAATTCTGCAGTGCTAAAATAAGAACTTTTCTTTGCCTCTTTTGGATTAGGTTCCTTTCCCAGAATTTTAATATAAGCAGAGCAGGCAGCTGCCACAGGAACAGTCAAATGCATTCCTGAGGTAACACCACATTGAGAAGGATGACATACAGAATGCTCATTGTTTGGCTTGGGCAGAGGATTAGAAGCCTAAGGAGCTCTGTCATTGGATGGAAACACTGCTTTTGCTTGTTAAATAACAGAAAGCACTTGTAACTAATATGAGGTTTCAACTTTCTGGGTTATCTGACTTGAAATTGTGCCATTGGAGAACTCCACACATCAAAACAATTACAACACAAGTGACTTTCTTTTCCAGACTTCCACCACACTAGACAAATTTGGAGTTTGTTATCACTGAAGGATGTTAATGATTTTAGATTAAAATCAAAGCTCAGGAAGCAATGCTGTCTGTCTGAACTGAGTTAAGTTTATCTAAACTTATCTAAAGAAAACCTAATTGTGACATATAAAATTAATCTGAAAACAGGTATTTCTTAGAAAATCTTTACAAATCCCCTTCTGAAAAGTGCAAACACTCTTGTTTTGAACATATGAAACACCACCCTTATCCCATACCACCAAACACAAAAATAAGGTGTAACTGAGTGTCCTAAATTACCATTTTTCTTTATATTTTACAATTTCTACAGAACAAATCCATGCATCAACACCCATTAAAAAAGAGAAACTGTAGAGAAACTAAAGAAAAGCTTGGCTGATGAGTGCAGGTATAAAGATACTGCCCTTCATGTCCCTTTTCTCACCTGGAGAGCAGCTGGTGCCATCCTCCTGCAGGGTGAACTCTGGGAAACACGAGCACTTGTAGGAGCCCACGGTGTTGATGCACAGGTGCTGGCACAGCTCCCCCCCGTAGAGCAGACACTCATCCAGGTCATCTCCTGGCAGGTTATTGGACAGCTCAGCCTCACTGCTGATGGACAACGCTTCGTGGTGATCCTCCCTCTCTGAAACTACAGCAGAACATGTCTGACAGCTGTTCTGGCCTTGGCACTGCACACAACAGGGTGGGTGGGCACAAAATGCCAAGGAAAGTCATATCTACCCAAAACAGTTACTGCAAGAATAAGAACAAAGGAACCCATCCTGGAGATAACACCGTTGTGCTGGAGGGCCACCTCTCCCTTCCCCAGGGCTGCAGGACAGATTTTACAGAGCCACTGAGAAACAGTCACAGGGGAGGTCACAAGCTGACCTTCCACATCACTGCCCACCCCATTCCCACTGACATTTGAACTAAGGCACTGTGCTGAGCCCCAGCTGAAACTGGCCCCACACTGAATTCCAAATTTCAGGAGGAGTTATCCAATTGGTTTGGAAACTTTCCAACATCACAATTTGTTGGCTTCTCCTATATTAGCATCAGCAGCAGCCTGGGAGCCACTGAGCAGTGACATGGCTGTCCTTCCTACTGCCTTTAAACACCAGCCAGAGCTGGAGCACCACCTGCTTCTATTCCTGACCAAGTATTTCTGTGACATTAAAATTAATCCTTAACTGAGTTTCTCAGTCAACTTTTCTTAAACACAACGCCAAAGCTCCTCGCTCAGTGAGGTCTCAGGTATATTTAGGGATGAGATTCTTTGCTTTCTCCAACCTGCCTTAGGAACAAGGCAATCTGTGCTAGATCTTGAGAGGAAAGCAGCTGTGCCCCTGATGCCCTGCTCCCTCCAGCAGCTTGCTGAAGGCCCGTGTGAGGCAGAGCCCTCGGTGACAAAAGGACACTCACCCTTCTCGGGGGTCACCGTGGGCACGGGCTCTGGATGCCGTCTGATCTCGGGGTGCATGAAGTGATCCCCCCCTTCACAGCAGGACAGCATCACGTGGCTGCAGGGGTAGCCCAGGTTGATGTTGGACTCACAGCTCTTCCCCTCACTCCTCAGGCGCAGGCCCAGGCTGCAGCAATCACAGCATTGCTGCAAGACAGGGGAACATCAGCCACCAGCACTGGGAACGTCAGCCACCAGCACTGGGAATGTCTGTCAGCCACCAGCATTGGGAATGCCAACCACCAGCACTGGGAATGTCTGTCAGCCACCAGCATTTAGAAGCACTGAGCAAACTGCCAGGGCAATGGTGGAGTCCCCACAGCTGGTTCAAAAAAGTGTGTGGATGTGACACTTGAGGGCATGGTTTAGTGGTGAACAGGGCAGTGGTGCTGGGTTTACAGTTGCACTTGATGGTCTTAGGGGCCTTTTTCCACCTTAACAATTCTATTCTGTGATTCAACACAGCTTCAGGGATGAGTCCACACACACCTGGAACTGATTTGCAGTTTCCTAAGCAGTGGAGCATCTGGAAAAACATTCGGAGTGTGGACAGTTGTAAATATCAAAGCTTTACTTGTGCTTGTTTTTGCCATTCTGCACCAACAGGTCAACTGCAGCCACAACAAACACAAAGTCTGGCTGTACCAGTGATTTCAGCAGCTCCACATGCCAGGAAGGAGTGGTGCTGCACATCTTGCTCCCTCCCAGGCCTTGCCTGTGTCTAGTATGAACAGAAATTATAAACAAAATAATAGAGATCTGCACCTCTTTGCATTAGAGTTCAAACCATGGTCAGTTTGAAGCCGTGTGACAGGAACTGGAAATAACGTGCACAGACATGAGGGTCAGCAGCATCCCAGCCCTGTCAGTGCCAGTAAAGACTCTCCTCTCTGCACTACAGCCCTGCTCTGACCTTTCATTACCTGGCTGTGCTGGACAGCATCCTGCTGGGACTGGCTGGAGGGAGGCCAGGCTGTCTTTGATGAGCTCTGAGCCTCTTCTTTCCTTCCTCAGAGTACCTGAACAGCAGCCTTGCTGACATGTTCATCTCCCACCTCTTGCAGTTTGCTCTGCTGCAGGTGGCAGGCAAAACCTGTGTGCTGCTTTACTCAGTCCCAGACAAATCTACTGCACAGTCAGGCCACAAAAGGACATCAGATAAATGATACCAAACTCAAAAAGTCCACACTGTGAATGCACAGTGGATACCTAACCAAACTGGGAAGCTGAGGAGCTGAATCTGCTGCAGAGACAACAGGGGTCACACCTGAGCTGGAGATGCCTTTGTGGATTTGAATTTAAGTGTCCTCTCACCCCTAATTTATTTATTTATTTGTTCGTGTATTTTAGCTATAAATACCATGTTTCACTGCCAGAAAAGCACAGAGTCTCTTTCCCTCTGCAGCTCCTTTGAGAGTCACCCACTCACTCAGAGTTTGCAGCCACACTGGAGGAGCCTCCCTGAGCCCAGAGAAGAGACTCCAGCCTGTTCAAACATTCACCCTGTGTAAGGGGGTCAGACACAGGAAATGAGGGGCAGGATTCGAGCTGGCAGCAGGAGCTCCAGGGACAGAGCAGTTGCCAGGAGGGAGATCCCTGAGCTGGGAAGGCTCAAAGAGAAGCAGTGTTCTAAGGAGCATGGAAATGAGGAGGGATCACTTCCCATCATTAGAAATCCTAGGTGGGCATTCCCATTAATCCAGAGCCTGTCTCCTGCAGGGAGATGCATCCACTGCCAGCTCAATGCTCAGGAACTCTTCTCTTGAGCCCCTTTTTTCAGGACAGCACTGGGGTTTTGTGAGCACTTCACACTCAGTGCACAGCCTGGCATGTTCAGCCAGCACTGATGGCTGCAGCTTACATTTTATGGCCCTGCTTCCTAATCTGAGAAATCCCCAAACACCATAAACAGCAGACATTACTCACATCTGCAAATATGCACAGCCATAAGGAGCTCCCTTCACATGCCCAAATACATTTGTGAAAAATTATTTACACTATAGGCCTTGAAGAGGATGAATTATTTTGCACACTAAATAGGCTTAAATTATCTTTTCAAATGAATATTAAAAAAAAAACCAAAAAAACCAAAAACCAAAACCCCTAGCAATAATGAATTGTGGTCATGCTAGAAAAGAGAAAATTCCTCTTGCCATCCTCCCCAAATCCAGAACCCTCAAATTTATGAAAGCAAATTATCTTTCTTTGTCTTTTGTTTTAGCCCAGTTTTGTCACCTTTAATATGCAAAACAGAAGTTCAAGATAATACATGTTTTTACTGAATTACTGTAAAATGTGCAATATATGCCTTGAAGACCCCAGCTTCTTTCAGTCATACTTTGATTAACAATTTATCCCATGTGCAGGCATGACAGAGAGTATTAAATCAGTCATACATCTTTAGGCACACATATTTTCCAGGTGAACAAAACTGTCTCATTTTCCAGTGGAAAAACTTGTTCTCTGAAAAGTTCCTTCTAAAATGAAAAAATTGGAATGCCTCGACTTTCTGTAAGCTGCTTTTTGAACTTCCCAGGAATTCTATAACTGATTTAATAGCAAATAAGATTGCAATTGAGAAATCCACCTTGAGAACCATTCTTTGGTTCACAGCTTTCTGCATTCCCCTCAAAACTATTAGCTGGAATTCTGCATAATTGGATTTACCATGGTGGAGTCTCCATCCACTAGGAAAAATCCCTAAGCCTGTGCTTTTGGTGTAAAGAGTAAATAACAATTAGAGCACCCAAAGATTAGGTTGATTTAGCACAGGCTGAACTCCTGGATCTGAAAAACCAGCACTGCCACATTCACCTTGAAGCAAAAGGTGAAAACATCTAAAACGCCTGAAGACTTGCAAATGTTTGTAACCTGGAGATAAAACCCTGACTTTTGGCAAGACAGAGTAAATATCTTGCTGGGTTTTGAGGCAATTAATGAACCTTTCCATGTTTCAGACAAACTTTTTTGATTTATGCCACTGGATTTCCTAAGAGCAGACAGATCAGGGGAAACACCACTATGGACTGTCAGCATCTTCTGCCAGATCCCCTCTGAAACAATGTTTAACTACAATAAAATTAGAAAACCTTTCTTGTAATACAAAGCATTAAAAAGCAGTACAAAGCTGGATTATTTTGTATTACAGCAGTACATACTGCAATGTTAAAGTAATTTAAAGTCTCAACAGTCTCAATATTTATTGATTTTTTTCAAGCAGTAACTGCAATGACTCAAGAGCTAAACGAGCTAAATAGGTGAGCAAAGCTGTTCAGTAATTTTACTGTCTCAGATGGATTATCTTAAAAGAAAAATCCTACTGGAACTGGCATGAGGAACCATTCCATGAGAGTATTTTGTCACTGGTTTCAGCTCAGCCAGGAATGATGGAGCTCTCCCTCCCCACCTCTGCCTGAGGAATGGCATGTGTAATCAGGTTGACTCCACAGCCTGGCTCTGCCTGGCATGCAAAAAACCCCTGGTGAAAACGTAAGAATAACAGTTCTGTCACATTTCAGACATATTAATGTCTTCTCCTGAATGCACAAATTCTCCTTTTACTCTAATGACAGACTTCAGACCCAAATTAGCAATGGTTCTGAAGATGACAAATCAGCACAGCTAATTAACCCTTAAACCCTGCAGTGGATGTCCACATTCCCTGCTTTTCCAGGGAACAATTATCTGGGAGAATCTGCGATGTAAAAGAAAAGATAGAACTAATCGGGTTCCTGCTGAGCCCAGGAAGCTGCACTTAAGCTGAGCTATAGCTATGTAAATTATGATCAGAGGGAAATGAATTCTGAAAGGCACTGTTCTGGTGAAAACAGGACAAGTGAGCTGCTGAATCTTCAAACTGGTTTAAATTGGTTTGGCTCCACTGGTTCTCATAAAGCAAATCTCATTTATCTAAGCAGAGGCTGTGGCTCAGGATTTGTGATTTGTGCTGTCCATTAACAGTTTGCCTTTATTTATGAACAAAAGCTTCCATCATCATCTAAATGCTTGTTCATCTAGTCCAGCATTGTGCAGAACTGGGAAAGGGGGCTACAATTCAACACTGGAGCCAAGCAAAGCGCCCAGTAATGGCTTTCACATTATATCTTCAATTAAGTTTTGCCCCATCATTTTCTAAATTCTTCTACACTATAGATATAAAAACTAAAAGGGAATTTTCACCTACTTCCAAAGCGAGGAAGCAAAAGCAATACAGCCAGTTAGGTCTACAAAATGGAGATGGAAATTAATGCAAAACAACATTACCGCAAAGTTTTAAAAGGGGCTGCAAACTGAAATGCAAACAGCACCATTTCACTGCCACATTCCTGCAAGTTCATCTTTTCTGTGCCCCACAGGAATGCAGGAACAGATCCCTGCTGAGGCAGGAGGACCTTACACACCCACAGAGGAGCTCACCTTGTAGGAGGAGCCCGCGCAGGGGTCGCTGTCCTCGGGGCCACACGTGTCCCCCTCCTTGGCGGCCACCATCCCGGCCAGGCAGCTGTTCTCCCTCACCGTGGACACGCAGCACTGCTTCTGGGCAATCCTGCAAGGGCCAGGGGCACTGTCACACAGCCCAGGGCACTGTCACACAGCCCAGGGGCACTGTCACACAGCCCAGGGACACTGTCACACAGCCCAGGGACAGGCACTGTCACACAGCCCAGGGCACTGTCACACAGCCCAGGGGCACTGTCACACAGCCCAGGGCACTGTCACACAGCCCAGGGATACTGTCACACAGCCCAGGGACAGGCACCACCGTCACACAGCCCAGGGGCACTGTCACACAGCCCAGGGCACTGTCACACAGCCCAGGGGCACTGTCACACAGCCCAGGGCACTGTCACACAGCCCAGGGGCACTGTAACACAGCCCAGGGACAGGCACTGTCACACAGCCCAGGACACTGTCACACAGCCCAGGGACACTGTAACACAGCCCAGGACACTGTCACACAGCCCAGGGACACTGTCACACAGCCCAGGGACAGGCACACAGCCCAGGGCACTGTCACACAGTCCAGGGACACTGTCACACAGCCCAGGGCACTGTCACACAGCCCAGGGACAGGCACCACCGTCACACAGCCCAGGGACACTGTCACACAGCCTAGGGACAGGCACTGTCACACAGCCCAGGGATACTGTCACACAGCCCAGGGACAGGCACTGTCACACAGCCCAGGGATACTGTCACACAGCCCAGGGACACTGTCACACAGCCCAGGGACAGGCACCACTATCACACAGCCCAGGCACTGTCACACAGCCCAGGGCCAGGCACCACTGTCACACAGCCCAGGGACACTGTCACACAGCCCAGGGCACTGTCACACAGCCCAGGGACAGGCACCACCGTCACACAGCCCAGGGACACTGTCACACAGCCTAGGGACAGGCACTGTCACACAGCCCAGGGATACTGTCACACAGCCCAGGGACAGGCACTGTCACACAGCCCAGGGACACTGTCACACAGCCCAGAGACACTGTCACACAGCCCAGGGCCAGGCACTGTCACACAGCCCAGGACACTGTCACACAGCCCAGGGCCAGGCACCACTGTCACACAGCCCAGGGACAGGCACACAGCCCAGGGACAGGCACTGTCACACAGCCCAGGGCACTGTCACACAGCCCAGGGGCAGGGCTCTCTGACACCCCTGCAAATGTCACAGTGCCACCTCAACTACCCCACTCGGAACGCCTAAACATGTGCAGAGAACGATCCTGGCAGAACAGGAACTGATTTTTTTAATGAGTATCTACTCTGCATCTATCCCCTGGATACCTGGAAGTGTCCAAGTCCAGGCTGGACAGGGCTTCAAGCAGCCTGCGATAGTGGAAGGTGTCCCTGCCCATGGCAGGGGGTGGATGAGCTTCCAGCCCTTCCAACCCAAACCAGACCGGGATTTTACAATCTTTGGGCAGTGATTTGAGCTGGAGCAGACTCCTGGGAGCTGCAGGAATTGCAGGGTTCCAGCACAGGTAGTGCCCTGGGGCTGGAGAGGGGCAGGGTCACCGGCTCTCCTCACTGGCACAGTTCCCAGGGCCAGCAGCAAGATTTTGTCCTTGCTTTCCAGGCTCTGAGGCCACATACTTGAATACTTTTGTACATAAAACATTTTCTTTAGACGTAATATTTATGGGCAGGCTTAAATCTTTTAAACAGGGACACAACTGAAATTTTACAAGTAAGACAATTCAACCCCTGATGTCTTACTCCTTTTAATCCCAGTAGGTTCACAGGGACTGAAATATTTAGGATCTGGCTTTTTCATCTACAGCCAGCCTCAGATGTGCAGGTGCAACTCATTCATGTACTGGATTTGCACTTACTTAGGCCGAGGCTGGAATTTTTAATCTGCCTTTACTTCACAGACAATTGGGATGTGTCAGTTATTTCAGCCAGATCCCAGCAGGAAGGACTTCAATCTCCCAGTAACTTCAGAAAGGTGCAATGATACTAAATTTGATAAAAGGAATAATGCCAAAGTTTTTCACTGCTCTAAATGATGGGATCAGTCTTCGAAAATGTGAGTCTGGAGTGAGTTTGTCTCCACCTCCCCAAGGGCTGCTCCAGGCTCATGGGCAGGGAGAGGGATGAACTGCAGCTGGTCCAGGTTACCTGCACCCATCCCTGTCCTCCTGCTGTGCAGAGGGAACCTGGCTCCCTCTCAGAGCAGGTGCTGCTGACACCAGGACAGGATCAGGGTATGGTCCCACTCCAGCAGAACCAGGGGCACTCACAGAGCAATGAACACATCCCCTAACACAGGGATAATCACTGCACTCAGCTCTTGCCAGCTCTGCCCTCCCACTGAACTGCAACTCCACAGACGGGCGGAAAACGGGAAATAAAAATCTGTGCTCTGCTCCTGGGACAGACAAAAAGAAACCTTAAAAAGCTTTCGTCTAGATTAGATTTGGGCAAATGGAGGGGGAAATCCTGGCTTCTAATTAGCCATGAATATTGCCAGCCCACAAATAATTCAGACAATGAATGACACTGTTTCCAGTCTCCTGGACATCCCATGAAGTACATTTGATTTCTTTTCAAGGGCGACTCTTTATGCTTACTGAAAATGTTCAGTTTTACCTTACGTACCTGCAAATATCACCATCCATGCCACTTACAGGGATTTCTGTGCACTCCCCGTTGTCTATAGCCCACTGCTGGCCAGCTCCACAGCAGCTCTCAATCAACTCCTTTGTGGAACCTGTACAAAGCATACACACAGATTTTTTTAGATTATTTTGTATGGAATGGATTTGGTTTAACTTTGCTTCTTAATTGAGAAAATCTTAAAAATAACGATTGTTCAGGGTGAGGTTTTTCCCTTTATTTCCACATTTTGTTATAAGGAAAAAAAATAAGAGACAACTGATACCTAAAACATCTTGACATAACTGATCACCTGGTGACGTCCTTCAGGGAGGAAAAACAGAAGGAAATTAAGACTTTTAAATGTTATAAATTACATAAATGGTTTGAAGGACATTCTATGTTTGACAACTCTGAGCAAAATCCTTGAAAAATCATGCTTGGCCACTTGGTGCAAGTTGATTTAGTCATTATGCTGCTGTAACAGTGCTCTCACTACACAGACTGGGTTAGCATAGAGTGCCCCAGCCTTACATGGTTCAGCTGGCTTAAAAATACAGTGAAAAGGGTATGGGAGCCATAACTCAGACTGTTACACTGACACTAAGATGCAGTAAGAGAGATGGACATGGAGAATGCTGCTCTAGCTCCCACATTTGATTCTGTGGTTTTGCACCCAAGATGTAAATGTGCAGTTGCAGTGAAATGGGATTTGCTGAATCCTCTACACCTACTGCATAGACTTGGGGCACTTTGTTCTCTTCGAGCCTTGGGGGAGGAACAGCCCAAACCAGACCTGCAGGTGCAGGGGGTTAATGACCAAAGCCATTTGTGTCTCCCCACCTGCCCAGCTCCTGCTCACACATGGGGCAGTGGCACCACAACAATCTGCACATGGCCCCCAGGCTATGCAATGGTCTCATTTTATACAACACATTAACAGCTTTAAAATATACTTGAGTCCTGAGAGCTCTATTAGGTGTAAGAGTTGCTCTGTGACATTGGAGGGTTGATCTATGCAGTTAAACTGGCAGGAAATATATCCAGTACTAGATAATTACCACACATTGCTATAAAACAGTGAAATTTTAACATAGTTCTAATTCACCCCCTCGGTGGAAACTCCATTCATTTTACCAAGTGCTGAAATACATTTGTTGCTCTTGCTGGAACATGAGAATAGAGCAGAATTTAACTACCTACATTGCAGTAATCTACATGATTTATAATTCAACTAAAAGTGAGTTACTCATTCCTCACTGAAGATTCAATATCAGCTTGCTCTACTGAAGTGCCATACTATTAAACAGTCATATTTGCAAAATATATTGCCTTTGCTGTGATCTTATGAATAATTAAACCCAGAATGAAGTTATCATAAAATAAACAACCTACTGCTTTTTATCTTCATCAGGAATTTAAAAGAACCTTGAATAACTCATAATAGGACTCACAGACATTAGCATAGATTTATGATATTTTAATTCTCCATTAGGGAGAACAAATATATACAACTAAATACATGCACAGGACTGGGGATCACAGAGCTTCTATGGTGGAGAGAGATTTTCAGCTCTGCGTGTAACAGACTTTGAAATACAAAAACAATCAAACAGAGCTTTGTTTATTTGGGGCTTCCATGATATAAGCAGATTTAGAAGCAGATTTGCATCTGCTTATGGAAAACAAAGTAATTTTGTTTGAGAACTCTGTAATCCTGGTTTGTTTTTTTATATATACTGTGTGAATCTTTAAAGATAAAGTCATTTCACAACCCACCTGCTAATAGATAATTTGCTATTTATAGATGTCTTCACTAGGGGAAAAAAAAGTGAAGGCTGCACTAGAAAACAGCAGCAGTTTCCTCACTTGTTTGCAATTCAGAAACTCACCTCCTGCAATTACCACTCTGCATCAGTCTAAAGACATGAACTACAGAACTTTTTGGCCTGATCGAAAAAACTGGTGTATTGTCTTTTAAAGACACTTAGAAGTTAATTCAAATATTTTAAATAACACTTCTCCCTCCGAGAGTTTTAACCCTTTCCGTGTCTGTGCTTTAAAGTTGTCTCAGTGCCTGATCCAACCCTGAGCAGCAGCCGGATGGCCTCAGGCTGACCCAGGGACACATCCAGGTTTTCCATGGTCACACAAAATCCACACAGCTTTTACAGGTTAAGAATTTCAGCTACAAACATCTGCTGTAGGTGGGTGTATTTTAAAAAGTTTAGTTGAAGTTCAAACTGAGAAAAACACACAGTTAAAGGCTACTAAATTATTTCCTGCCACTGTGACAGTGAACCTTAAGTTTGTTAAAGGAGCAAAGGAGACAAAGTGGATTTTCATAAACTTTCCTCCCCTTTTTCCTTCCCGGTGTTCACAAATTATGTTTCCAGAGTGATAAATCATCAGCCAGCTCTAGAAGGTCAAGAAGGGATAGAGTATCTCAGTTTCTTGCCAGAGCTTTCTTGATACTGAAGTTTTCCTGATTTCAGCTTCACCTGAATTTCCACTCAGACAATTTCACACCTTTAACACCTCCAATTTGCTTCCTCCCATTCTCACTTCGGGTCTGCAGCTCTGCAGAGCATTTGCATCGATTGAATAACTCCTGTTATGCAAATGCCCATTCTTGGAGCCAGCACTCCTGACTGAGCTGTCAGCAGCTTTATCCATCATTCCCTTCTAAGCGGTTCTTGTGTCTCAGTAGAAAGACAGACAAACCTTAAGACATCAGCACTTCCTCACTGAGCCTGATAAAGCGCTGGCACAGGTTCCCAGAGCAGCCCTGGCTGCCCCTGGATCCCTGGCAGTGCCCAAGGCCAGGCTGGACAAGCTTGAAGCAGCCTGGGACAGTGGGAGGTGTCCCTGCCGTGGCAGGGGTGGCACTGGGTGGGCTTTAAATCCCTTTGCACACAAACTGTTCTGTGAGTCTGCGACTCCTCACATGATGGGAGCAGCAAGGACTGACCCACCACACCAACCAACCCACCCAAGCCTCCAACGCACAAGTGGACAATTAATTCCCTTTCCACTAAAATTACTCCAGGAGCCATGACATTGAGGAGTCTCAGACAGCAACTTCAACTACAGAGAGACCCAAGTGAGGCAGACACAGTGCAGGGGCCTGGACAGAATCACTTGCCTTCAGGCAGAGGTGAAGTTCAAAACTGGTATTAACACCAGCACCAATTATCTATAAGCCAGGGAAAGGCAGAGCACTGCAGGAACCACCAGGAGGATCAGGGTGTCGGGCAGGGCATGCCAGCCCCAGGCACCCACCTCTCTTCCCTGCTGGCTTTAATTCCAGCTGTTAATTGCTGGATCAGCACTCACACGGGAGAGAGGCAAAGGTCATACCACCAAAACTGAGCTGAGCTCCTGCTGTTATAATGGGACTTCCTATTCCATTCCTACACCTGAAGAAAGTAGTTTATCTTCCCCAAATCTATAGTATTTACACTTGCACCCAGCACATACACTTAACAAGAACTGGAGAAAAATAAGTTGTACTTCCTTATCAAATACCTGCCTGAAAACATAAAGCAATATATTATGAAAAATAATGACAAAAACCTCACAGGATAACTTGGGGGAGTTCTTAAAATACTAAAAAATAACTGTTTCCAGTGGGTCTTTTTTTCTGCTCCAATCTCTTCACCATTTAAAGCTCTAATAAATATATAATAAAGCACTGTGGCTTTACCCCTTAACAGGTTGTCATTTCCTATCTTATCAACAGCCTGAGAGGCTTTATTAAACTCCCTCCTTGAATTTCACAATCTAGGTGTGCACTGTAACATGTTCTCAACTTGGTTTATCTGGGATGGCTGGGAAGACGTTTTAATGAGTAAGGTAAAGAGGAGAAGAACATTTATCTTGGCAAAGACAGGGGAGGGGAGAATGACAGCACAGCCCCAAAGCCAGCTGCTTTCACTCCAAACTGAGCTATCACTTACGTCATTGGGGCTGGTTAAGCTCTCCCAGGACCTGTTCCCAGATAAATGAGCAGAGGGTTTTACTCTGTGCAGGTTCCTGCAGGCTCCTCCAAGTGCCTCAGTGCTCAGGACGTGTCTGACTCTAAATCTCCCTGAAACGAGGGCAGGGCTGGAGTGTTTCCATGACCAAACCACAGTTAGCTCACTGCTCAGGATGGGGCATTAACCCACGTGCTCTCCTCAGCCTTTGAGGCTTCTCTCCTTGGAAATGATGGAAAAGCAGATTGCAGAAGAAATACAGGCTGAGCTGAGCACTCAGCACACACCTCTTGGATTCAGTTCAGTGCCTAATCCTTTTCCACCATGCTCTTCAATTCCTGCCTGCCATGCCATCACCACAGCAGTGCAAGGGAGGTCCATCACACTTGGAGCAACCTGCCTTCATTTTAAACCTCATGCAGCAAAGTGTTTTTCTGTGCTCTCCTCCATCCTCTGAAGGTACCCACGTCTCTTAGGGAATCCATCCCACCACTCATCCAGGACAAGTTCCTGTTATATTGCCTTCACTCTTTGGGAAGCATCTGCTTTCTATTTCAACATGAAAACATTCTGTTTCCTACATTATTCTTTTTTTCATAAATTCCTTATGCTGGCTTGCTTGGCAAAACATAGAGAGCTGTGTCTGCCCCAAGGCACAATGAAAACCGGATAACCCAAGCTGAATGTTCATTTTACTGTGCACCATACAGTGGAGACATACATCAACATGGCCTCAGCCAGGCTTGTTTGGCAGATTTTGTTCAAAGTGTCAATGAATAGCAACCTAATACTCCCTCTGGCTTTAGTTCTGGGTAATCCTTGTAAGTCAAAACTTGTATTACCTGTGGCAGAGGCCAGATAATTTAGACAATGTTTGGTCTTTAAGGTTTCCATGACAGCATCCTTTATTAGATCCAGGTTGAAAGAAGGAGGGGGGGGGGGGGGGGGAACACAACTAAATAAATTCTTTAACCCTTTTCACCAGCTACAAACCCAAGCAATTCCTCTGCCTGCCTTGCAGAATGTGTCTCATTTTGCTGTATCCTTCTGCCACGGAGTTTGAAGCAGAACAGTTCATGCACAATCATCCTTCCATCAGTTACAATGATAACTCAGAGCAGGCAGAATGTTTCTTGCC